TATAGGTTTAGTGTTATTGCTTGTATTACACCGTCGCTGATTGGACCGAATTGATCATTCTCTATTGGCATATGGGCTCCTGTACTACACACAGGTAAAAGACAGGCAATATCGATGCATCCGCACAGGAGCCCATAGCCAACAGAGACTGATCAGTTCGGTCCAATCAACGACGGTGTAATGCAAGCAATAACACTACTACTGAGTAGCTCATTGAACAAATTTTGACAATGCTTTATTCATTGCCATGTCCGTTGGTGTGTTGTTTTGAGTTGTACGCATTTGGACTACTTTTCAGTGGTTCTACATCTCATATATATATATACATATATATATATATATATATATATATATATATATATATATATATACTGACTAAATGACTCACCCAAAAACATTTTCAGAGTAATTCATCTTTCGTAACCGCGAACAAGTTGTTCACTAATCAAGTTATGGAGTGTTGATTTTATGTTTCACTGATTGAACTAGGAATGCACTATTACCCATACTCGTTTATGACTAGTAAAAATGTTATTCTTAATGCTAATATCAGTGAGCTCTATGAGTACTAAAATCTTTCTGTATGGCAGCTCATTTATCATCTGTTAGTTTAGTGAGATTCAAAAATATTTACTACTACGAAACGACAACTTCTTATGAAATATTTATTAAACTCAACCGTGATGTTTACTGTCCTGTATCAACTGACAATGTGTTATTAGTAAGCGAGTGCATCATGGTGTACTGAATAAGCCTTTGACCTTTTCATTTCTTTGTTGATAATACACTTCTGTTCAAGTGACATCTTAATTTGGTTTCCGTCCAAATACCAATCAATCTGTAACATATTTGACATCCCATGTAGAAAATGGATCACAGAATATTTCTTCACACGCTATCAATCTCAATCTACTATAATTCAGTGAACCATAGTATGAATTTTCACTCTACATACTAATTTTCGAGGGAATAATTCATATAACTAGGTCTATGGTTCCGAGGATTCAGGTAATATAACCAATTATGTACAAAGGAAACTTAATCACTAAAAATATGTCAACCTGAAAGGAAAAGCAAATTTTGAGTTTAATTTTGAGCATTACTTTGAAATAATATGAAAAGAATTCACTTGATTTTTAATAATGCAAATATCATATTTTTGTCCCTCCCATATACATTACTTAGCTAAATAAGCAGATGATGCACAATATTATTATTATTATTAGTCCCTTGGGTTCCTAGTGGAACATAGGGCTTCAGTAGCACGCCTCCAGTGACCTCTGTTCTCTGAGATCTTTTGAACCTGGTCCCACGACAGCCCACAAGCTCTCATTTCCTCCTCGCACGACCTCCTCCATGTCACCCTTGGACGTCCAACTCGTCGCTTCCCATGGGGATTCCACTCGAGCAACTGGCCTGACGCGTGATGTCCCCAGTCGGCCTTCTCAGTGCATGGCCAATCCATCTCCACTTCTTCCTGCATATTTGTTGAGTGATAGGTTCTTGGTTGGTTCGTTCCCAGAGTTCCTTGTTGCTTATTCTTTCTGGCCATCTGATCTTCAGCAGCGAGCGTAAGCAGTTGTTGATGAATGTCTGCAGTTTATTGGAAATGCCTTTCGTGACGCGCCAAGTCTCTTAGCCATACAAGAGCACTGACTTGACGTTGGTGTTGAAAATCAGGATCTTGTTCCGCATGCTGAGTGCAGAAGATCTCCACACTGGTTTCAGGCTAATGAACGCCTGTCTTGCTTTTCCGATTCTGACTTTGACGTCCTCGTCCGTCCCGCCTGTAGTTGAAACAGTGCTTCCTAGATAAGTGAAGGAGGTTACTTCCTTCAAGTTTCTCCCGTTGACGGTGATTGGAGTTTGTTGTTGTTGTTGGTGGTGGTGGTGGTGCGGTATCTTCATCACTTCTGTCTTCTCTATATTCACCTGAAGTCCCGTCTTAGCTGCCTCTTCTATCAACTTGTTAGTTTTTGCCTACAGATCTCCAAGTTTGTGTGACATTAGGCATAAGTCATCATTGGCGAAATCCAAGTCTTCTAGGTTCTTTTCCGCAGTGCAGTGTATCCCCTCTTCTCGCTGCCAACTGTTTGCTGCATGATCCAGTCCACCACAATAAGGAATATCATGTTTGTTTCACTCCTGTTTTCACTTCAAAGGCTGATGCACAATAGGGATATCTATATTGAATGACACTCTCAAACTACAACTGTTCCACATACGCTAAGTAAATTAGAAACGACCCCTTTTTTCTATCTATCACTGACAAAATCAGCGTAGAACCTCGCAGACAAGCGCATCGGCTAAATTAGCTACACTTCACAGTAGTACACAAAGAACAGGTGGATCAAGAAAGAGTGATGTCAATGTAGATGAAGTCGTGTGAGAGAACAAACAATTTGAAGATAACGCTTAGTGTAAATATTCAAGCTTCGAAAGGTGTCAAACAGTGAATACATGTGCGACAAAAAGACCGGTTTACAGACATGTCATCAAGAGTGAAATCCTAACCTCAGTGCAAGAAAATTTGATGTCAGGTTTAGGGAATGTAAGCGAATTAAAAGTGCCGAATGACGATGTCAAATACTTCTTCCAGCGGAATATAATGAAGAAAAAGCATCAGTTAAGAAAGAAAAATATTTAGTCAATTTATTTACCGGCAAAACTGACAGTATTCATCAACTAAAACATTTATATCAAACTTCAGTTTTCTGAGCGAAAGAGGGATGGATAAGGTAAAATGATAAAAGAAGCCATCTGACTCATTTACATATGAGCAACAGATACTAAAAAACCTCATTAATTTTCATGTCACTATGCTACGGATGATCCTATATACTAGTATAAAAGAGAACCACAAAATTATTTCTGTAAACTCCCTTCAAATCCACTTTAGCTGCAAACGGTTACCCTCGTAAAAGAACGTTATTGATTTAATTGTTACTTCAAAGTATATCACAATACAGATTCGACAGAAGATCAATAAAAAAATAACTTGTTACGGTCTGGCAAAATGTTATTAACCGGTCAAAAGGCACCACTGTATCGTCCATATCCCTTCCAATATGGGGAAGGGGTGTCATAGTGTAAAGTAGGACTGGCAAGAGCTTCACAAGAAGTTGAAAATCACTGAACACTGTTACAACTAGTCGTTTTCCTCCAACGTTCTGGGAAATATATTTCCACATGCTATGGATTCAGATTTAGATTTTTTTGTTTGAAGATAGGAGCCTATATTAATCCCTTTTCAGTAGATTTCTGTGCTTGTCAATTCCCTTTTTGAACGAGTCAATGGATGATGCGGACACCACTTTTTCTGGCAGTCGGTTCCAGGAGTTGATTACTCGACGCCAGAACCAGTACTCTGCGGATACTATGTTCATTCTATGCTTTCGTAGCCTCCTACTATGTCCTCGCGGGTGTTTCGACTTGGTGAGAGGGGAAAGAAGAAGATAGATCAGATCAGAAGTCATTCTTAGAATCCTGTATAGCATGATTAGGTCTCCCTTCTGTCTGCGATAGGACAAAGTGAAGAGGTTCAGCTCCTTAAGTTGATCTTCATAGGTGAGGCCAGCCATCTCAGGAATCATACGAGTGGCTACCCGCTGAACTCTTTCTGGAAGGTCTGAGTCACCTTTCAGACAAGTTTTCTAATTTAGACCTAACTAAGGATGTGTACAAGATGGTGAACATGTCACCAATTATTTTCGTAAACGTTCTACGTAATGCCCAAAGTGTTTTGAAGTTTCGAGCTGGTACCAATCGACAGTGTGTCGCGGTTTCCAAGTCATAACTCACTGTGACTCCTAGGTCACTGTGGGTTAGTACTGACGGTAGAGCAGTCTCACCAATACCGTAGGTGTTCATGTGTG